AATACGTTTATATTTAATCAGATAGAGGTTTCAAGGATATATCGTATTGAATCGGGAAATTTCCATCTTTGCATGGAGGGTCACTTGAAATTTCGCATACTATCCCTTTAAAGGGACTGACAATTTACTCCCCATGGAATGTCCTCATTCACAAAGTTGCCTTTTTTACATCTTAAGAATGAGCAACATTGTTTAAGAAATTCGTCTTTTATTGTATTTTATTTTATTCTTCTATTTTGTAAAGTGTTAAATGCAGACATTTTTCTTCTTTGTCTCTGCTGCATATTTAAAACCAAAGATTTTTTCACGTTTTTTGCTCAAATGTTTAAAGGGTAACTGTGTGAATCGAACATGGCCCTCTTTCAGGGAGGGTCATACACTTAAATTCTCCTTAACTACTAATCAGAGAAGATTAATTATAAACATTAAGCCGTTTACCCGCACTTGATCGATTTTACCAGGAATCTAAATTTTCGAAATAAAAGTCTACCCACTCAACTCAGAATCTCAAATTAAGAACATTGCCATGGCTCTCCCGAGTTCCCTATTCAAAATTTGAGGCAAATTGGCTAAGGGGTTCATGAGTTATGATCGGAAAAACCGACAAACAGACATAAGAACAGAGATTACAACTTTAAATATATAAAGAAAATACATATAAAAAAGACAATCTTCTACAATTGTTAAACTGTTTGTACATTTTAGATGTGACTGGAATGGCGTACATTGTCCGGCCATTTCCTTTACCGGCCCATTTTAACATTAGCCATTTAAGGTAAGGATAAACAAATAATTTTTTTTATTTCTTTAGAAAGATTTATTATTCATTTTAATTCCTTCCAACTTCCTGGATTCAGTTCAATCCATTCACAATTTCCAGATTCAGTTTAATTTATTCACAATTCCTTGAATTCAGTTCAATCCTTTCACAATTCCTAGATTCAGTTCAATCCTTTCTCAATTCCTAGATTCAGTTCAATCCTTTCTCAATTCCTAGATTCAGTTCAATTCCTTTCAAAATTCCTAGATTCAAGTCAATCCTTTCACAATTTCTAGATTCAGTTCAACCCTTTCAGAATTTCTAGATTCAGTTCAATCCTTTCACAATTTCTAGATTCAGTTCAATCCTTTCTCAATTCCTAGATTCAGTTAAATTCCTTTCAAAATTCCTAGATTCAGTTCAATCCTTTCACAATTTCTAGATTCAGTTCAATCCTTCCTAAATTCCCAGATTCAATTCAATTCCTTCTCAATTCCTGGATTCAGTTCAACCCTTTCAAAATTCCTAGATTCAGTTCAATCCTTTTACAATTTCTAAATTCAGTTCAATCCTTTCTCAATTCCTGGATTCAGTTCAATCCTTTCTCAATTCCTAGATTCAATTCAATCCTTTCAAAATTTCTAGATTCAGTTCAATCCTTTCTCAATTCCTAGATTCAGTTCAACCCTTTCTCAATTTTTGGATTCAGTTCAATCCTTTCTCAATTCCTAGATTCAGTTCAATCCTTTCACAATATCTAGATTCAGTTCAATCCTTTCTCAATTCCTGGATTCAGTTCAATCCTTTCACAATTCCTAGATTCAGTTCAATCCTTTCACAATTCCTAGATTCAGTTCAATCTATTCATAATTCCTGGATTCAGTTCAATTCTTTTTAAACTTCCTGGATTCAGTTCAATATTTTCCCAACTCCTGGATTCCGTTCAATCCTTTCCAATTTCCTGGGTTCAATTTAATTCATTCCAACTTCCTAGATTCAGTTAAATCCCTTCCCACTCCCTGAATTCAGTTCAATCCTTCAAACTTTCTGACTAATCCCTAATATCTTCCTGAATTCGTTTCAATCCATTCTAAATCCCTTAATTCGATTCAACCTCAACTTACTGAATTCAGTTCAATTCCATTCAACTCTCTTTAATCAGTTTCATCCCTACCCATTCCAAGAATTCAGTTTAATCCCTGTGAACTTCTTAAATTCAGATTAATCCCAACCCATTTCCATGGAATTTAGTTCAAGCTCTTTCAACTTTCGTGGAATTCAGTTAAAATCCGTTCAACTTCCTTAAATTCAATTCAATCCCTTCCAACTCCAGAAATACAATTTAATCCTTTCCAATTCCTAAATTTAGATAGATTCCTTCTAATTTCGAGAATTCAGTTTAATCCCTCCCGACTCCTTGAATTCAGTTTAACTCCTTCTTATTCTCTAAAATAAGCTAGATTCCTTCTAATGTCCAGAATTCAGTTATACCATTCAAATTCCATGGAATACAGTTTAATCCCTTCCTATTCCTTAAGTTCAGTTTAATTCCTTTCAATTCCTTAAATTTAGTTCGATCCCTTCAAATTTCAAAATTTCAGTTTAATCCCTTCTAATTTCATAAATTCAGTTCGATACCTTTCCGAGCAAATTTCAGTGGAATCCTACCCGGCCGCTCCCTAAATCCGACGCAATCCCTTCTAACTCCTTACAATACATTAGAACCTTTTTTTTTCTGAAATCTCATAGTTTGAGTGTGTTTATCACAATAGAATTTAAATACCATATAATATAGTCAGTAGAGCGGATGTAAGGTTTTAAAGGGACTGTAAGCGAAATATCAAGTGACCCTCTGGCAATGCAAAGATTGTAAAGCCCGATTTACAACGGTACCTTTGAAAGTGTTGAAAGTATGAATTAGAACTAGCTTCATGTTTTTGTTTCTTCAAACTGTTAATTTTCATTTGCAGTTTCTCTACGAAAGTGACTTGCCGCATTTCTTACTTACATGAAGTAATAGAAAAACTTACAGAAATAAACACTTTTAAGACAGAAAAAACAACGGTATCTTCCACATTTTTGATCAGATTTAGGTTTCAAGGGTACCGTTGTAAATCGGGCATTGCCATCTTTCCATGGAGGGTCACTTGAAAATACGCTTACTGTACCTTTAAAGATGAAAAACTTTAAACACTTACTGTGCTCGTTTATCTCAACTTTTTCCATAGTCATCTACTTTTATACAAGAGACACAGACAGACTTTAATACGTTTTAAAGGGGCTGCTAGCGTAATTTCAAGTGACCATCTGTGCAAAGATGGCAATGTTCGATTTATTTGGTAGCTTTAAAACTTTATCTGATCAATAATGTGGAAGATGTTGTCGTTTTTCTAGGGTTAAAAAGTGATTCTTTGTTGTTTCTTATAAGCAAGAATTGCGTCACTTTCGCAGCGAAACCGATTGGACATTGCCAATTTTTCACTTAGGGTCGCTTGAAATTAGGCTTACAGTCCCTTTAATTCAAACTTTTCAAGAGAAGAAAACGTTCTTTCTTTCAGCTATACTAAATTTTTATAAAATTGTTGAACATTTTTAAATCATGGTTACAAATTAGAAAATCCTTATATTCAAACCCCATGACTAGTTTAGGATTGTTTGATGGACTATATACAGGATAAACCTCAGAGGATGAGATTTTAATGACGACTGTTTTCCAACATTCTGGGGTTTTTACAACTTTAAGCTTGGTTCTTTTTAAAATTATTTATAATATTACTAAAATTTTAAAGCGCTTTGCGCCCATCTTCTATTTCAACTTTTAATTGTGGCTTTATCTGTGAGCATCTTCTTTTTGTACAGTATAATTAAAACAAAAACAAAAAAAATTTGCGGATTTCATAATATTTTTTTTGCATTTTCTTAATTTAACAAAAATAAATCTTTTGAACACAAACTTTTAAAATTTTGATCATTCATAAACCTTCCCTGGGGTCACGTGAGGTCCCACACAAAAATTAGACCCGATCGATTCAGCCGTTTTGATTGTAGTAGATTGTAGTACTTGTAGTACAAAAGTACTGTTGGATTAAGACCTTTAATTGTTTTATTACACTGTACAAAGTTGGATTAGGACCTATATTTTCGAATAGATATTGTACAGGCCCCCCAACTACTGTTGGATGACGACCTATATTGCCTAGTAGTTTATGTGCCCCCAACTACTGTTGGATGACGACCTATATTGCCTAGTAGTTTATGTATCAAAAAGTTTATGTACAGGCCCCCAACTACTGTTGGATGACGACCTATATTGCCTAGTAGTTTATGTATCAAAAAGTTTATGTACAGGCCCCCAACTACGGTTGGATGACGACCTATATTGTCTAGTAGTTTATGTACAGACCCTGCAACTACTGTTGGATGACGACCTATTTATTGCCTATCAGTTTATGGAAGACCCCGCAAATACTGTTAGATGACAACCTAAGTTGTCTAGTAGTTTATGTACAGACCCTTACCTATACTGTTGGAGGACGACAATCTATATGCCTAATAATTTATGTCTCGAATTTGCTTTCTTATTACGACCTTCTATTGCCAAATAATTTATGTACAGGTTCCAAAAACTGCATTCGAGTGATGATCTTTTTTGTCTAATAATTTATGTACATGGGCCCCGCAACTACTGTTGGATGACAACATACATTGTCTAATATATATACAGATATATACAGAGCCCGAATCTTCCCAGTCGTACTTTTTGCAAACATATGACGTCTTGATTTACTCGCGGTGAAACAAGACCCCTTGATCTCGGCTCAAACAAAAAGAAAGCATAGTAAAATTAGATTATGTACTGACAACTATACTTTGGGTGACGTCTAGTGGACAAACACTTTAGAGTATGGAGACATATAAAGTACGTCTTATATACGCCCGATTAGTTGGCAAGATACGGGCTCAGGCCTAAAGCTACTGTTGGATGACGACATATATTGCCTAACAAAATTTGTACAGGTTCCACAACTATACTTTTGGATCACGACAATTTCGGTGTCTAATAATTTATGTACAGATCCCAAATTTTGTTTGCGGATGACGACCTTTCATTGTCTAATAATTGATCTATAGTCCCCAAAACTTATTTTGGACGACGACCTACAGTTGTGTAATAGTTTATGTACAGGACTTTCAAATTCTGTTAGATTACAACCTTCTTTGTCTAATAGTAACTGTACAGGCTCCACAACTATTGTTGGATGACGACCTCCAGTTGTCTCCTATCAATGATAGACAAACAAGTTCCTGTGGAGGAACACTCACAAATCTTCGAATAGGAACAAAGGGAACAATTAGGTAAGAGAGTTCCAAAGGACCAATCAAGTTTCAAAGGGGAAATTTCGCGGAAAAGGAGTTTAAAAGTAACAATCAGGTAGAAATAGTTCCAAAGGAACGCGACGGTTGTATACAGAGTATACAGAGATGCTTATACGGAACAATCAATTATAAAGAGTTATAATTAAAACAATTCAATGAACAGAGTTCGGGAAAGGAACACATAAAATAGAGTTCCAAAAGGAACGCACAAAAAATTCCAGAAGGAATAAGAAGATACATATGATTCTAAAGGAACATGAAGATTTATAGAGTTCCAAAAAATATGGAAAATATGGACAGGGACGGTTAAAAGAAACAGTCAATTTTAAAGAGTAAACAGAGTTCTGAAGAGGAAAAAATTATAAAATAATAAAAAAACAAAATAAAAAAATTTAATATTTTTTTTAGTTCTCCTAACTATCCAAACGACTATCCGGCCGATGTTAAATGTGTTTGGTGGTTTAAGGTAAACAATAATTGCAGTACAATAAAGAAAAATAATTAACAGCTTAAACAAAAATTGCAGTACAATAACAACATTTCATTAACAACTTAAACAATAATTGCAGTAAAATAACAAAATTCATTCACAACTTAAACAATAATTGCAATAGCAAAAATTCATAACCAATTTAAGCAATAATTAATAATTGCAGTACAATAACAAAAATTCATTAACACCTTAAACAACAATTGAAGTACAATGACAAATATTCATTAACAACGAACACAATAACAGCAGTAACAAAAAATGAATTCACAACTTAAGCAATAATTGCAGTACAATGACAAAAATGCATTAACAACTTAAGCAATAATTGCAGTACAATAACAGAAATTTTATTAACAACCTAAAGAATAATTACAGTACAATAACAAAAATGCATTACCAACTTAAACAACAATTGCAGTACAATAACAAATTTCATTAACAACTCAAACAATAATCGCAGTACATTAAATTCATTATAACAGCTTAAACAATACTTCAGTTTAAAATCCAATGTGATTTAATTAGATTGCAAGCTCTGGAGCAAAAATAAATGAGAATTTTGCCAATTACTTCTAATAAAACCAAAGCTAGTAACAAGTGATATATAGTGCTAAAATCTAAAGAGAAAAGCAAAGGGAAAAAGTGGGTTAAAGGCTAGAGCGGTAAAATCAAAGCCCAAAGCGTCGACCCTGTCTTAAAAATTGACAAGACTTTTCATAAGCTGCAGACTAAATCTATGAAAATAATCAAAAACTTTTGTTATTTTCCTCTTCTAGAGATAAATGTGGCTTTTTTTAAGTAACATAAAGACAAACCTAATTCAGCTTTGTTCAGTCCTCTATGATAGTTAAAATATTAAATATTAAAACTGTATTTTAAATTTTAAAAATGACCGAAAATCCAGTAAAATTTTTAAATTTCGATTAGGTTGAAATCGCTTTTCTTATTATATTTGTTGTTTCAATTGCCCCGAACTGCGTGGATTTGCGTAGAATTCAAGGGCTCGCAATTGCGCGTACGTGTAAATCCACGTGCGTTGGCCCGTTGGTAACTCTAGTCAAAACTATAACATTAAAAATATTTTTTAAAATTAATTTGGTGCTTTATAGTCTTGCCCCAGCTTTATTTGAATTAATTAAACTAGAGACAAAACAAAGAAGAAACTCAGCTCATTAATTCTAATTAATTCACAAATGTAAACAATAACAATAACAATGTAAACAATAACAATAACAAAAGCAGCAGATACAACAATACTATTTAGATTCAAAGACAACCCTAGCTTGATATTATGCAGAACATGATAACCCCATCAATGTAACAGGGTTACCCACAAAGGATGAGACTGTAAAGGCGACTGTACGGAGTTTATAGCTCATGTTTCCGCCAACCTGTTTTTATTTGCCAAACCATTATAAAACCATTAAATAACAATATCTTATGCAGAAGGCTTAATTCAACCTTGAAATCGTCTTACTTTAAGAGTTTCAAGTCGTCTTTACTTTCTTATCTTTTGTGGATTAAACTTAGGTAAATTTTACATATGCTGAAAATCTTATATATATTCAGTCATATAGCTTCTCTTACTGCAAAAATATAAATTGAGAATTAAAAACATAAATTTTTTAAATTTGCAATATGTAACCGTATTAAAGTGCTTTTCTATTATATATTCTATTCTATTCTATTCTATTCTATTCTATTCTATTCTATTCTATTCTATTCTATTCTATTCTATTCTATTCTATTCTATTCTATTCTATTCTATTCTATTCTATTATATTCTATTCTATTCTATTCTATTTTGTTCTTTTCTATTCTATTCCATTCTATTCTAATCTATTCCATTCTATTCTATGCTGTTCTGTTATATTCTATTCTATTCTATTCTATTCTATTCAATTCTATTCTAGGCGGAACAGTCGGCAACTGTATCTATAACCTGTTCCTATGTATACACACAATCATGTGACCAAGGAAAGCAAAAAAAACACTTATAAAAATACAAAAAGAGAAGACAAAAACCCTTGCTGTAAATACAGTGCTGTTCTATATGAACGTGGAATAGTTTATTAATTAATTGAAAACTTGTTAGACCTTAGAAATAGTTTTCTGCAATCATTTGGCAACAAAATTTAAGAAAATATTCAAAAATCAATAGTCTCAAAACAATCCTAGTCGACTGCCATTTCCAAAATGCATGTGGTTTTCCGTTTTTTCAACATTATAAAATTGAGAATTTTGGTTAGATTTTAATTTTTAGATAAACGTACAAAAATGGCAGACCACATTTTGGAAATATTAAAATTAGGTGAATGCCAAATGAATGCCATAAACTATTTCTAAAAGTAAATTGAAAATTACTGATTCTGTATTACTCTCTAAAAATTATTTAATCCATTTATCTTTGCAATTCATGATGTCGGAGATATTTGAAATTTTAATGAATGCTGTTGATACAAAAACAACCCTATGGACGATTTTTTTATTGTAAAAATTTTTTAAGTGAAAACGCAACGATCTCCGGTGGGCGGTTGGCTCAATTCCAATATTGATCACCCCTAATATATATCCAGGATTATCCACAAAGGATGAGACTGTAAAGACGACCTGAAACTCTCAAAATATGTTGATTTCTTGGTTGATTTAAAGCTTTTCTCTTGAATAAAGTCTTATAATGGCTTCATTACTGATTTTGAAAAGCGCGAATCCTGCTTACAGTTGCAGGGAATCGTGAATATCAGGAAACAGACAATTCAAATTGCGTACAATCGTTTCTGAAGTCTCATCCTTTGTGGGTAACCCTGTATATTATTGTTTTAATTCTTTTTTCTATATAAATTCCTTTGAAAATTTTGAAAATTAAATTTTGTCTAAAGTATTTCAATTTGCTGCCAGGATATTTCGACTATATTCTGATTGCCCCAGACTGGGCCTGGGTTAAATATTATCTGTAAGTATACAAAAATATTAATTTCTAATTTGGAAACTTAAACTTTTGAATAATTACTTAAGTACAATAAATGAAATGAAAATTTACAAAGATTCTGTTCTGTTTTTTATTATAAATAGGAATTGAGTCTTAGCCACAAACTCTGATTTTCTACTTCCTATATTTCAAAAAACAATGTTGTAAACCTTAGATATATCAAACTTTGAATTCTGTTATATTAAATAATCTAAGTCTAAATGTCGTAGGTTTACATTATAAGGTTGCAAAGATGTATTTTAAATTTGAGTTTGTGGAAAAGAATAACTAACATTTATAACTAATTAGAATTATGTCAGTTAAAGAATGAAAACTGATGGAACCATTTCATTCATAACAGAAAAAATAGGATTGGTTAGGTTTAAGTTATACATTTTTAGATGTAAAAATGTATAACTTTATCCATGTAAACTATTTTGTATAATTTAAATGATCTCGATACGGAGATAATAAATATCTAGATCTTAAAAAAGGTTGTTATTCCTAGCGTCTTAATTTTAACTCTGTGCATTAGATCTAGACCAAAACACTGCTATCTCTGCCCCCCCACACCTTAAAGGGACTGTTCGCGTAATTTCAAGTTACCTTCTACGCAAAGTTGGCAATGCCCGATTCACAACAGTACTCTTTTACTTTTACTTTGTCTTATCAAGCATTAATTAGATTTCAATGTTTAGAATTTCAAAAAACCTATTTTTTTGTGGTTACTCAACAATAGTTTCTTGCGCATTTATATTGCAAGAAAACATATTGGAATTATCGACAGAATTAAACACTTTTAAACCTTGAACAATAACAATATCTTTCACATTCTTGATCAGGTTTATGTTTACAAGGGTACAGTTGTGAATCTTGTTTTATATAGAGGGTTAATTAAAATTACGCTTACAGTCCCTTTAAAATAACTGTTTCAAATTCTTGTGTTCACCCTGTAGAATTGTATTTCAGATTGTGTGGAGATTAGAATAAATTCACATTGTAGAATTTTATTTCAGATTGTTTGGAGATTATAATAAATTCACCCTGTAAAATTATATTTCAGATTGTGTGGACTGTGGAGATTACAATAAATTCACACCGTAAAATTGTATTTCAGATTGTGTGGAGATTACAATAAATTCACCCTGTAAAATTGTATTTCAGATTGTGTGGAGATTACAATAAATTCACCCTGTAAAATTGTATTTCAGATTGCATGGAGATTACAATAAGTTCACCCTGTAAAATTGTATTTCAGATTGTGTGGAGATTACAATAAGTTCACCCTGTAAAATTGTATTTCAGATTGTGTGGATATTACAATAAATTCACCCTGTAAAATTGTATTTCAGATTGCATGGATATTACATAAATTCACCCTGTAAAATTGTATTTCAGATTGTGTGGAGATTACAATAAATTCACCCTGTAAAATTGTATTTCAGATTGTGTGGATATTACAATAAATTCACCCTGTAAAATTGTATTTCAGATTGTGTGGAGATTACAATAAATTCACCCTGTAAAATTGTATTTCAGATTGTGTGGAGATTACAATAAATTCACCCTGTAAAATTGTATTTAAGATTGTGTGGAGATTACAATAAGTTCACCCTGTAAAATTGTATTTCAGATTGCATGGATATTACAATAAATTCACCCTGTAAAATTGTATTTAAGATTGTGTGGAGATTACAATAAATTCACCCTGTAAAATTGTATTTCAGATTGTGTGGAGATTACAATAAATTCACCCCTTTCACAATCTCATCTACTGAAAACTTCATGTCTGTTTATTTCAGGAAAATTGATAACAAATTAGAAATTGCCATTTTTTCTAAACAACACTCTTAGAAATGTCAAATTTTCTTCTGGCAAAATTAACTGCAGAGTTGTTAATATTCTTAAAATATTCTTAATTGAAACGTTAAGTATATATATCTAGTTAGTTGGACCTACAGTAAAATTAAACTTCCTGAACAATCCTATTTAAAAATTAAACTTTTTGCTGATTTTTTTCAATTGCTGCAAAGAAATTGAGTCTTTGCCACTAACTCAAATTGTCTAATCCCCATATCGTTGCAACCTGATGGTGGAAACCTTTGATTTTTCTAACTTATGGTATTTTATAAAACAAAATTTATAGTTTGAAATATCTAAGATCTGCAACATTGGGTTACGAAGAAATAGGGATTAGAAATCAGAGTTTGTGGCAAAGGCTCATTTCCTTTAAACGACAAAATTCTCAATAAAGAAATGAATTTTATCAACGAAATATTAGGACAAGCTTGCAGCAAAACTATAGAGGGTTCACATGCAGGTAGAAAGTAGATTATTAGATTCAAGGTTATAATGCAAGGAAAGTCAATTGCGGTCTGCGTACACATTGAACCCAGTTCTCTTTGGGCGGAATTTGTAAACAATCAGTGTTCGTTTAGTATCCGAGGAGGTTAAAAGCATTAAATTTCGATAATTTTGATAATTCCCATAATAGTTTCCCATGACCAGAATATTTCATTGATTTTTTTCATGTGAAAGATGGATCCCATGTCAAGCTATGACATCTGTCTTGTGTTTACATTACCGCCCAGAGACAGTACACTGCAGTTCAAAAGATGTGATACACTTCTGAAATAACTTTCCTTTCATTACATCCTTGATTAGATTCATTTTCACAAATAACTCTTATTTTAAAACTAAAAGTTGGCTGTAACATTTGTTATAATTTTAACCTCTAGCTAGAGATTTTTGTTTTCTTTCATTTTTATCACAATTAAAATATTCTATCTAAGTTAGATTTTATCACATTGTAGAAAACATTTTCTGTTATTTAAGAAAATTAAAACGAATCGTTCAAATATTTTGAATTGTTCTCACTGTGCAGTATTTTTACAAAGTATTTATATCAACCAGAAACTAATAAATACTTTTTAATCCAACTATAGAGAACTAAACATTTTTTAAATTAACCAGAGCTGGAAACTTTTGTGTTGGATCTACCCTTATTCCTGTTACCTTAATCCATGAATATCCACTATTGACACTCTTGATTTTCTGTTTTTGGAAATCCCTAGTCGATTCCAAACATTGGCAGTTCTCTCTCATTGTTTGCGCGCAAAATTTCCCGGCTTCTGATTGGCTATTTGGTTTCTCTGAACGACATTCTGATTTGTTGAATTTCATACGCTTTCCTGGATATCAAATATAAACTAAATCTGCAGATTAACAAAAAGAAGAGATCAAGTGCTGATCTTGATATCCATAATACAGGTGTTTCCAGAGAGACTGATTAATTCAATACTAGGGACCAACAAAGACTAATTAAATTATTCATCTTAATATTCTAACACTGCTAACATTCTTCAGCTACGAGGTTGTTAGAAATGTAACAACAGTTGCTGCTCCAGTCACAACAACAACAACAACAACAGTTAAACCAATTACTGTGGAGTATAATGGAGAAGGTAAAAGATTAAAAAAAGTCTATGTAAATAATTGAAAACTAAAGACATATAATAATAATTTACGAGGTTTTGTTTAATAAACCTATTGATCTCATATTGTTTTCCATTTGTGAACTTTTTTTCAGCGCAAAATGTATTAAACTTTTTTGACATTAAAACGTTCTTAAAATCATTTTTTATTTTTAAAGAAATCTTAAATAAGAACTTTATTCCTCTTTACAGAAGACCCCTGAGAAAATAACTCTTATGAAATTACGTTCAGAATAAAATAATCTTTAATATTAATGTTGTCCTGAGACCGAATTTTAAAAATTTGAGCCGCGGCTTAACTTTGAGACGCGGCTTAAATATGGATGGTTACACTTAAAATTTAAAATTGTAACCAATGTTTTAAGGAAAGGAAAATTCTCGTGGTTCTTCCGAGTTCCCGAATCAAAATTTGAGGCAAATTGGTCCAGGGGTTCCTGAGTTATGATCAGACTTACAAATAATAAACAAACAAAGATTACTTCTTTATATACATAGATATATAGACATTAATATTTTTCTGTTAAAAACTAAAATAAATGAGGCAATGTTATTTTTGTTAATGCCTCTAAGTCTAACAGATTCCCTATTTTGTTTTACTTCGAAATATCTGGAATGTTCGAAATTAAGTTTTTTATTATTAATTTTTCAAATTTTTATTTATGTCAGCTGGGTGCGGGATACCCAATGCTTCCAATAGAATAGTCGGAGGAACTGGAGTTCAGCCTCACAGGTTAAAAAAATAACAATTTTTTTAAATGATGGGTCTAACTTTTAATAAAATATTGATTAGATATCCTTGTATTATTGGACTATATCCTTTAATATATATTGATTAGATATCCTTGTATTATTGGACTATATCCTTTAATATATATTGATTTGATATCCTTGTATTATTGAACTATCCTTTAACAAATATTGATTAGATATTCTTGTATTATTGGACTATCCTTTAATAAAATATTGATTAGATATCCTTGTATTATTGAACTATCCTTTAATAAATATTGATTAGATATCCTTGTGTTATTGAACTATCCTTTAATAAATATTGATTAGATATCCTTGGATGGTTGAACTATCCTTTAATAAATATTGATTAGATATCCTTGGATGGTTGAACTATCCTTTAATAAATATTAATTAGATATCCTTGGATGGTTGAACTATCCTTTAATAAAATATTGATTAGATATCCTTGTATTATTGAACTATCCTTTAATAAATATTGATTAGATATCCTTGGATGGTTGAACTATCCTTTAATAAAATATTGATTAGATATCCTTGGATGGTTGGACTATCCTTTAATGGACAATGGTTCTGTGGAGGTACACTTTTAAACAAGGAATGGATTCTAACAGCAGCGCATTGCACTCATGGGTTCGTTTAGTTCAATATTAAATATTATAAAATTTCAAGAGTTGGTTCAAGAGATTGCTTTTTACCTGTTTTACCTTTTTCACGTTTGAATCACTTTTCTTCAGATTAAAGGGACTGTAAGCGTTATTTCAAGTAACCCTCTATGCAAAGATGTCAATCTTCTATTCACAACAGTTCACCTTAATCTAATCACAAATGAATCAATTTTTTTCCTGTGAATTTCTGGTAAATTTCAAGAAATGCACGCAAGAAACCACAAATGAAAATAAACAATATCATGAATATCAAAATCATACTTGATTAGAGTATCGTTGTCAATCGGGCGTTGCCATATTTCCAAGGAGGGTTGCTGAAAGTTACGCCTACAGATAAATTTCACTTTCAGGTTGTAAAGATCTAGAGATTAAAAAGTTCAAATCTATATTTTGAATTTAATATTTCAGAGCTATCAGTGCTTACGCTTACCTGGGGGCTCATAATCTATACAATGAGGAGGAGGGAAGACTTATCATTTTCAGTCAGGTATGATTATAAGTAAATTATGTATAATTATTGGTAAATTAGGTAATATTATTGGTAAATTAGGTATAATTATTGGTAAATAAGATATAATTATTGGTAAATTAGGCATAATTATTGGTAAATAAGATATAATTATTGGTAAATTAGGTATAATTATTGGTGAATAAGGTATAACAGTTGGTAAATTAGGTATAATTATTGGTAAATTAGGTATAATTATTGGTAAATTACGTATAATTATTGGTAAATCAAGCACAGTTATTGGTAAATTAGGTATCATAATTGGTAAATTAAGTATAATAATTAGTAAATCGTGTATAATTATTGGTAAATTAGGTATAATTATTGTTAAATTAAGTGTAATAATTGGTTAATTAGGAATAATTATTGGTAAATCGGGTATAATAATAGGTTAATTATGTATAATAATTGGTAAAGTGTGTATAATAATAAGGTAAATTAGGTATATTAATTGGTAAATTAAGTAAAATTATTGGTAAATTAAGTATAATAATTAGTAAATTATGTGTAAATTAAGTATAATTATTGATAAATCAGGTATAATTATGAGTAAATTATGAGAAAAAAATAAGGTCTATAATTGAAACAATTGTCTTGAGATTTCCAAAAGGGGATTTCTTTGCATCTTAAAAATTATACACTAGGCTTCTAGGGCACTTCGCGCTTATGTCCGAATTTTTAACTTTTAACTGTTGCTTTCTTATCGATTTTTTCTTTGATTTAAAAAAAAACATAATTTTGTAAGGCAAATTTTGAAGAAGCTTCCCTGGGGTTATGTGAGGTCCCTAAAAAGTTTTGGGCTCTATCGGTTTAGTCGTTTTTGCGTTTATTGGATACAAACAAACTGACACCCAGACAAGCAAAGTATATAATACTAGGCTTTTAGGGCGCTTCGCGCTCATCTTCTATTTCAATTGTGAATATTTTATGTTTGTATACATTGTAAAACAAAAACAAACAAAACAGTTGGCGGATTTTAAAAAAAATCGTGGATTTTCAAAATTTTAATGAAAACATCGAATTTTGTTGGAGGCAAATTTTTGAAATTTTGATCATCCATAAACCTTCCAACATTTTCAGAAATCAAGGACTATGAAATTTCCTTGATATTTTGTTTAATTGGAATACAATGCTATTACAAAAATGCCGCCGCCACATGCAGCAAAGACGAAGTACATCATGTTTTATGGGATTATACTCACACTTCATGTATTCAGGAGTTTGTAGAGCATCCTCAGTATAATGTTGAAAAAATCTTAAATGATGTTGCTCTGGTTCATCTACCGAAGAATTCTATCCCTGCATATACAAGTAGGAAACCATGAAAATAAAGTAGGGAAAAAGAATTGTAACTGAATTCTTATTCATCATTTTCAAATTCTATAATCTGATTCTGAGGAATGCTATTTATTGATTTCTAGGCTTTTATTGCGCTTCGCGCCCATCTTCAATTATTCAATTTTGAACATTTTCTCTTTGATATAGTACATTGTAAAACAAAAACAAAACAAAAATTTTGCAGATTTTATGGAGCTAAATAATCTACAGCGCCTGAACTTGATATCCTCAGTTGAAATTTTTAATTATTACAGCGATTAAAAGTTGTAATCCAAGAAAAACAGCTTACCAATTAGAGATCGGATAAACTCGACACCACGTGGGGCAGTGATTGACTGAATTTAAAGGTTTTCAGCTCGTTATTATCTGAGTTTTACAGCTAGGAAACGTTTGCTGGGTTTAAGATTCTTAAATTTTTTTGATAATTTGTTTAAAGAGGACTGCAGTAAGCCTAATTTCAATTGACCTTTCATTTAAAGTGGCATGTCCTATTTACAACGATACCCTTTAAACATTTGCTTGATTAAGGATTTCATAGAAATTCTTATTATATCGTGCGAAATTAAGTGCCAAGAAACGGCGCGAGTGTACACTTGCACGGAGAGTGAACACAGTGAATCTACCTCAGCATTGTTCGGGACAAAGATTTAAAGGGTACCGTTGTGAATCGGACATGCCTCTTTATAAATGGAAGACTCAACTTGAAACTACGCTTACAGTCCCTTTAAATGTAGAGAATATCTCCCCTGGATGTCTGCCTGCCAGGAATGCAGTTGACCAAAATATGGCCGGTCAATCTCTCTTTGCTGTTGGTTGGGGTAAAACTCAAAATGGAGCTCTCATTTCTCCAACCCTCAATGAACTCAGGAATATTTTCATTTAGCATTAAATATTAGGGCATTGATTGTAAATGTACAGTGTACACTCATGAGTCCAGAGCCCGAAATTTAAAAGAGTATCGTTGAACGGAACTTCCGGCCGAGTGTCCTTTTTGGGGTCTTAACATTTGTGTATATTTTGATTTAAGAGATTTGAAAAAAATGGAGAATATAAAGAAACTGAAAAAATAATATTTCATTACAAAAATATTGATATTCACAAAACTGCCTAACCCCATTCGTGAAACTTGGGTTTTTAAACTGGTTTTCATAACGGTACCCTGTCTTAAGTTTTGGGCCGGAAATTAAAGTAAGTATCGTTGAACGCAATTCCTGAGTTTCCTTTTTGGGGTTTTTGTCTAGATTTAATTCAAGAGATTAGAAAACAAAAAGTAACCAAATGAAATCATATTTCTTAACAAAAATATTTGTATCTACAATTAACTGACTGACCCCATTCATGAAACCTGGTTTCCGATACTGGGTTTCATTACGATACAGGTCGGAAGTTTTGGGCTCTGAGATCGGAACTTTTGTGTGGATATAGTTGAAAGCTTGATCTCAATATCCAATGTGGGCACTTATGAAATTGATCCCTCAATTAATCCGTAAGTCTACATAAGATGCTTGATCCCAAGATTCTGATTTCTGATTTGTCTTTTATTAGGTCGCAGAAAAAAGTTTCAAAAGTAATCAGATATTTTTCTGTCAAACACTTTTTGGGACAATGAATCATTTTTAAAAATTAAATAAGGCTAATACAAAAATTTCTTAAGCGAAAAGATCTAGGGTTTTCGAGTATTATGTGTTTATTTTGGAGGTAAAGCTTGAAGAGATAATCTAATTTCTAATTTTCTAATTTTTTATTTTTATTTATTTTCTTTTCAACCTAATGTTGAAGTCCTTTTGATATTTAAACCTACGAATTACGCTAGTTCTATCAGTCAAAGATTGACATATAAAATATTTACACCATCAAGTTGCAAAGATATAGGGATTAGAATATTACAAATTAGAGGTGAGTGTACAGTTTTTTTGTAACATTAAAAAGAAACAATTGCGTATTTTTTGGTTGAGAAAAAATATTGCGTAAATAGAATGAGATATGCTTAGAGTAAGCCTGGTGACTAATGACGTGTGTAGGAAAAGTTATGGAGATATAATCCAACCATCAAATGTTTGTGCTCAGGTCATTTATTTTCTAATTTTACTATATAGTCTAAAAATAAAAATTGACAGGGATCTTTTTAACCATAGAAAAAAACATCAGGGATTGACCAATAATTGTGGAAGTAAGGATGTTAAACTATTTTATGAAAAATGTCAAATATTTGTTGTATTGTATGAAGCAACAATTTTAAATTTCTCTTAATCCGCAAAGAATTATAAAATGTTATGATTCAAATCTGGATAAAATTTGATAAGTATCTGGTTTAGGGCGCCAACGGGACAGGAACCTGCCAAGGGGACAGTGGGAGTAGTTTACAATATTCTCCAAGGGATGGATTGTATATACAATATGGAATTGTTAGCTTTGGAGCTTCTACAGGATGTGGATCAGGTGTGTAAACTGTATACTGTACACTGTACACTGTACACTGTACACTGTACACTGTACACTGTACACTGTACACTGTACACTGTACACTGTATACTGTACACTGTACACTGTACACTGTACACTGTATACTGTATACTGTACACTGTACACTGTACACTGTACACTGTATACTGTATACTGTACACTGTACACTGTACACTGTCCAGTGTCTACTGTCCACTGTAAACTGTACACTGTACACTGTACACTGTACACTGTACACTGTACACTGTACACTGTACACTGTACACTGTACACTGTATACTGTATACTGTACACTGTATACTGTATACTGTACACTGTATACTGTACACTGTATACTGTACACTGTACACTGTTTACTGTATACTGTACACTGTACACTGTATACTGTACACTGTACACTGTACACTGTACACTGTACACTGTACACTGTACACTGTACACTGTATACTGTATACTATTCCATAGTTTTCTGGTTCTCTCTGTGCCGTTCTCGTATACTTTATAGATCGAATTGTGATTTTCGATATTTCAATATTTTCCATGGATTACTAAATTTGTTTATTTCAGGATATCCTAATGGTTTTACCAGAGTAACCAGCTACCTTGATTTCATCGGCGCTACTATTGGAATGAACTTTAATTAGCTCAAAACTATTTATTTCTATCTTTGTTTTTTGAACATCTAAAATTTATATTATCTGTTTTGACGTATAGAAAGCCTTGAATGTCAAATATAAACGGATCAAATATATCCTAATTGTAATTTTACCAAAATTAATTTTTTATAAATATCTTTTTTTCCAATTAAATAAAAAGATATTATTAAAATTATTTTAGACATTATATTGTTATCTATTTGTAAGTGCCCGTTTGATGCATTAAAATTAAAAAGTCTGGTATTAAAATATATTAATAAATTTGAATATGATCTGTTAGTCTTAAATATTGCATGCATTTGTTTAGTTTCTACTTTTTAGGCAAATATTTATTAAATTTTCTTTTTATTATCATTTGCATATGAAGAATTATAGTGAGTCTAAAAGTTTGATATTTTTAAACCATGATTACTACTAGAAGGGAAATCGTGAGACATATATGATAGTTTTTAATAAAGTTAATTTAGCCAACATTTATCTCCTTTTTTGTTAAAATATGATAACATTTTTATAGGGATCGAGTAAACTTTGTCCCCGTTTTTATCTTATACCTGAAAACATTATTCTGATAAAGTTTAAACTTAAGACGACATTTATATACAGGGTGCCCCATCATCACGTTAGATCGTTTTCAGCTCTATACAGAGCCTCCCACGATCCCATATCTTATTAGATTATCTGAAAGTTTTAACGCCAAACTAAACCCAAAATACTCAAAAAAACGTAGCATTTTCCGCAAGAAAATTCTAATATTAGCCTTTTCAATTTTTCAAAATGATTCATTTTCTTAAATTTTCAGATAGTTCTAGAAATAGTAAATTAGACCGATGTGGGACACCCTGTATATTCGCTAAACTTGAGCACTCTGTAGTAATGGATAATCATTATGCAAGGCCCTTAACTTATAATGAGTTGGTTGAGCTCTCTGGTCCTTATTTCATCACCTAATCATCAGGGTTTGATGGAGCAGTGGTTAGCGTGTTTGATCCATAATCTAAGGAATCATGTTTCAAGCCCCGTCAACTGCAAAAAGGAAAAACTGATAAAAATTCAGCCATAATACTGATGAGTCCTAATAGGACGAAACACTGTGTCTAAGGATAATATATATGCAACAAAAAATATACGGTAAAGAAAACCATTTTAAATATATCTTGTGTGCAGTCATAAATCATGGAACAAAAAAATGCTTTGCATAAAAAGGTGTCAAACATTATTTCGTTGAAATCACGGCCGAGCCCAAATCAAAAATTAATGTACAATTGCATCGGATGAAAGAGATAGTAAAAGTGGGGGTTATTGGACCTTACCCAAATCCCCCACCCCCCGGATCAGTGAAATCTATGGTTTCTGCAGGGGTTTTCAGGAAGCCCCCCTCCCCCCTTTGTTTTTCCTTTTCATTCAGATAACCTTAACTTTTAACCGCCCCTAGAGAAAAAAAAGGTTTCACAGATTTTAATACTATTATAGGTGAATTTATTTTCTTTTAAAAATACAAAACAAAGTTATTTATAAAAAATATAACTGTCTTAATTTGATCTGTTAAAAATAAAATTATACAAATCTTATATATAATGTTATCATTGTTTTTTAAACATATGTGTACTTAATTGTACATACAGAGTATTATTTACTTTTAAAGTACAGTACAGTATAGTACAGTACAGTACAGTACAGTAAATTCAGTACAGTATAGTACAGTACAGTACAGTACAGTAAATACAGTACAGTACAGTACAGTACAGTACAGTACAGTACAGTACAGTACAGTACAGTACAGTACAGTACAGTACAGTACAGTACAGTAATGTAAACTGTAAAAATATCATATATGTAGAAAAAAAACATTTTGAAAGAATTATATATTATGTCTAGGGTTTCTATTAATATTCCTGGTTGAATCCATCGTTCATAAATTCTTCGGAGATTTTAAAATCAAATAAATATTTGTATCACAACGAACAGATGCCGTACAGGCGAATTTAAAATAGTACTGTTTAATTTAACATTTTTCGTTACATTTGGTTAAAAAATTCTCACAGCCGAATATGTTATTATCAAACCGGAAATATTTATCGTTGATTGGCAATGTGACAACTAAAGTACAAATGCAATGAGTAAAAGGGCAAATGTTTGAAAATGAAACGTTGAAAAAAAGCTGGACAAAAAAACGACTACACTCTCTGAATGATCATGAAAACTATGAATAATTCAATTGATGAAAAAAAAATTTACAATGTTTGTGAAAATAGTTTATGTACGTACAACAATCAGTGTGTTTCTATCCGTCAACGAAAACTTCTATGTCGCCTTGTCTAGAACTGTTAAAATTGTTTGTAACACCAGAAAGTAAATCTGTTACATCAAGAATATCGTCTTCAACATTTTCACCAGATTTTTTCACGGGGACACTGTTCATTGTCTCAGATAGATCCTGATCATAATAATCATACTCATGTTCATGAATAATGTGTCCGTGATCATTTTCACTGTGTTCAAACTGTTCTAGCGCATGTGCTTTATGTTCATGATTATGATCATCATGCTCATGTTCATGATTATCATCCTTATGTTCATGATCATCATGCTCATGTTCATGATTATGTTCATGATCATCATGCTCATGTTCATAATCATTATGCTCATGCTCATGATCATTATGCTCATGTTCATGATCATCATGCTCATGTTCATGATCATCATGCTCATTTTCATGATCATTATGCTCATGATCACTATGCTCATGTTCTATTTGTTCATGGTCATGCCCATGATCATTATGTTTATGATCATGATTATCATGATCATTAAGATAATAATCAAGTTCTTTGTGTTCATTATTATCAACTTCATAATTTTCATGAGTATGATCATCATGCTTGTGCACGTCATGGTTATGCCCATCAGTTTGATGATCGTCATGGGCATGAGTTTCGTTTCGATGATCATCATGTTCATGACCATGATCTTGAACATCTTTTGTATGATTATGAGAACCATGTTCATGATCATGAGATTCATGATTGTGATCAGATAAATCAAATGTTTGGTTTTCAGAATTATTCCTCATTTTATTCACGTTAAAATGATCTGACGCTTCATGATCATGATGATGATGATACTCATGATGTCTATGATCATGACTGTGTCCGTGCTGCTCATGTTGGTAAGGATTAAAGTTGAATGCGTCCTCCTTGCTTCCAAGTATCTCCTCCACATGAATATGATTATGTCCTGAAACTAACCAAAAATAAAAAAAAATTTGCAATTAAACTTTTTGTTTAAAGGGATTCTGGAGACGCAATTTCAAGTAACCTTTCATGTTAAAGAGTTTCCTGTCTTTTCATGTTTAAGAGTTTCCTGTCCTTCCAGGTTAAAAAGTTTTCTGTCCTTTCATGTTGAAGTGTTGCCTGTCCTTTCATGTTAAAGAGTGTCCTGTCCTTTCATGTTTAAGAGTTTCCTGTCCTTACATGTTAAAGAGTTTCCTGTCCTTTCATGTTAAAGAGTTTCCTGTCCTTTCATGTTAAAGAGTGTCCTGTCCTTTCCTGTTTAAGAGTTTCCTGTCCTTTCAAGTTAAAGAGTTTCCTGTCCTTTCATGTTAAAGAGTGTCCTGTCCTTTCATGTTTAAGAGTTTCCTGTCCTTTCATGTTACAGTCAAAACAAAGGATATTATTCCCATCTTTTATTTAAACGGCTAAAGGTTGGCTTTCTGAATTGGCTATTAACGCATTAAATTGAGTTGAATCGGGCTATTAACGCATTAAATTGAGTTAAATCGGGCTAGTAACGCATTGAATTGAGTTGAATCGGGCTATTAACGCATTAAATTGAGTTGAATCGGGCTATTAACGCATTAAATTGAGTTGAATCCGGCTATTAACGCATTAAATTGTGTTAAATCGGGCTATTAACGCATTAAATTGTGTTGAATCGGGCTATTAACGCATTAAATTGAGTTGAATCGGGCTAGAAACGTAAACGTTAGAGGTAATTTAAAACTGTATTTATTTTGGTTCCTGAATGATTAAGCCCTGAGCCGCCGAGTTGTCGAGCCGTTGCTGGACCGCCGTGGCTGTGTGTGTGAGAACCGGTTCCTTCCATCACAGCCATGACAGTAAACCCCAGCGCAATGGCGAGTACGCCTATAATTCCGGTCATCCTGTAGCGGGTTAACTTCTCGCGGGACAATACTTCGAAGAATGTGATGTAGAGTAGTGTACCAGCAGCTAGACCCTGAACAGTAAACGTGAAAATAGTATTTAATTTAATCTCAAAAATTAAATTATACAATCATTCAAAAACAGTTCTTTTCGTCTAAAATATATTCGTAGATGAAAAATTTCATAATTTTTATGTAATGCTTCCGCTGATTACAATAATAGTAATCATACTTTTTACCAAAAGAATGCTCGCAGCTAAATACACTGATAATAATGATACACATAGTATACCTGAAGAACTCCCACAGCAAGAAGATGGGCTGGACTAGCGGATTCAACATGCAGGGTAACAATTAATCCTAAAAACAAAAACCTAAAATGTGCGTTTTAAATACAATTCTTGACAGACAACAAACTTTAATGTTGTATAATGCAAAAATATTATATCTTCAAAAATTTGTCTCGAGCTGTGGATATTGAGATCCATGGGTGGATCTCCCCTCTTTTTAAATTTAATATTATATTAATCTTTATATATTATATTAATTAAAAAGGAACGATTTTAGTTCTGTTTCTTATGACTAATAATTATTCTAAAATGTAAATTATATATGTTCAATTTTAACTACCAATTAGAACCCCAATGGGTGAGTTAACTCCGAGCACGATCATGTAGATTAGAATTGTTTTCTTTTTCATTCCGCTTGAAATCATTTCCGTCCCTAGAAAACTATAATTAGAAAACTTGATTTACAATAAAAATGGATTTGTTAAAGAGACAGACCGCCTATGTAAGGTAGTTAACTAAGTATGCTGTTCAACTACCTTACTTAGCCGGTCTGTCCCTTTAAAAAGGAGTTATCCGTTTAAAGGAATTGAACACTTGCCAAAAACTATAATTTATAATCTTTACATCTATTCAATCTTATGGCGTAGACCTTTAATATTTCAATCTTTGATAATTTATTTAATTTGAATAATTATTAGTTTAAAATATCAAGTGTCTACGACATCAGCTTGCAAAGATATAATGATTAGAAAATTGGAGTTTGTGATACGTGTTGTTTCTTATTTTTCATGTAACTAAGTGAATTGATTAAATTAAATTAATTAATTGCCTGTTGGCTTCGAAAACGTTGAAAAGGGTGGTGTGAGTTTGTGAGACAGGATGAATAATGTTTTGATTAATTAAGTTTTAAAAACATTATTTATACTTTGTGCTGAAAAAAGCATTGATTAAAGAGAGAGTGTGCGAAAAATGAAAGGGGTATATTGAATTTAATTCGATCTGTTGCGTCTATGTGAAAAAAAAAATGTTTTTAAAAAAACGCCTAACATACAAATTCAAGTATAGTTGCATTTTTCCACTAAGATCGTACATAATTCAATTAAACTTAAAACTATTCATTAAGATATTATATAACCTACAATTGTCGAATTCAACGATATATTCGTATATAGTTGATATTTTCTAATATATCTTATTGTATATGATCCGAGTGTTACTTTTGAAAACATTCATTCCTGTTTCGAGGATTGATGATACTGAAGACGACTTTTTCATATTTTCCAGGAATGTACAAAAATCCAGCGCCAGTCGTAAAAAAAGTTGTAAGGGAAATATTAATTTTAACCCTTAAAAATAAAAGATATTATGAAATATAAATTTTATACACATGCATCGAATTGCATTGGACAGTTATAGGTTGTAAATTATAAATGAGTAATTTTGAATTTTATTGAATATTTTACGATCTGAGGGAAAAATTCAACTACGATTTTCTCCTTACAGATGCAACAGATAAAAGTAAAATTAGTAGCGATCGATATTGAATTCTATTCTAGAACACTCCCTTTAATATCTAAAAATTCATAAAAATGTTCATAACTTAATCTATAAAAAAAACTTTAGAACTGACCTATGCAGAATACTATTGCTACACTGTGAATTATAACAGCTGTGAACAGCTTCCACACTCCTTGGTCTGTCTCCTCCAAACCTAAAAACAATTGCTCTTAAATGGAATGTAAGCTTAGGTTTAAGTGACCCTCCATGCAAAGATAGTAATGCCCAATAAATAACGGTACCCTTAAAGGGACTGTAAAGGAAAAATGAAAGGGGGTATATAGGATGAAACATGAAAATTTAAGGAGTTGAACGATACCTATAAGACATTTATTTGATGTTTCTGTCTCGAGAACTGGGTCCTTTGAAAATGCGTCTAAAGTCCATTTAAGGTAAATTAATTTCCTGTGATTACCTATGGCCATGCCCTCGAATAAGCTGTGAATAGAAAGCGCTAAAACAATCAAAAATCCTCGAATTGATGCAACAAAACTCTTCTCTCTGAAAACAAAATAATGAAAATAACGACGATACTGATACCGATACCGATACTGATACTGATACTGATACCGATACCGATACTGATACCGATACTGATACCGATACCGATACCGATACCGATACTGATACCGATACTGATAACGATACTGATACTGATACTGATACAGATACAGATACTGATACTGATACTGATACTGATACTGATACTGATATACTGATATACTGATACTGATACTGATACTGATACTGATACTGATACTGATACTGATAATGATGATAATGATAATAATGATAATAATGATATTAATGATAATAATAATAATAATAATAACACCTAGCTATTGAGTTGTTGGAGGAGCTAGACCCAAGAGAATTGGAGGATCCTACATAGTTTCCTCGGAGGGTGGAGGTGGCAGGAACTCGGAGGTTGGAGGATACTTGAGAATCTAGACCAGCTCCGATATCTAGATGATGATAAAGAAAAATTTTCAAAAATATCTAAAATCTTAATTTCAAGTCATCTACTTTTGTTTTTTATCAAAATTGATTAAGTTCAAATGTGATTCATCTAAAAAAGTAAAATATGTGCGGAAAGACACAACGATGTCAGAATTAAATACCTTTCCCGTTTCCGGGAGAAAAACGACGATATCTTCCTTATTGTTGCTCAGATAAAGGACTGTGAATCTTACAAGCCATTCTCTAAAGAGAAATCACGACCACAATATTCCTTTGCATTCTCTAAAGAGAAATCACGACCACAATATTCCTTTGCATTCTCTAAAGGGAAATCACGACCACAATATTCCTTTGCAAATTAAGAAATATTATTCTTGTAGAATGGACATTTTATATATTAGAGCACTAGCCTGGGAACCCAGCTTTGTCTAAAATGTTCATTATAAAAGTGTACTCAGAACCTACTCAACTCAGAAGTTTTAAACCAAAATAAACATTTCTGTGGTTCTCCCAAGTTCCACAATCAAAATTTAAGGCAAATAGGTTAACGGGTTCATGAGTTATGATCTGGCATACAAAAAGACAAACAGAGATTACTACTTTATATATACCTGAATCAAATGAAGCGTATGAGGTTAGAGTTGCACTTGACACATTGTAAACATTCTTATCCGACTAAATAATCAACTAATCAATAAATCAGTCAATCAATCAATTCCCTGATTAATCAATCAATTAAGAATATAATAGATTAATTGAATTAATCGATTAATCAATCATTTAATACATAGATTTATCAATCAATCAATCAACTACAGGGTGTCCCACATCATATTAGACCGCGTCAATGGGTCTAAATTACGATTTGGGGGACAAATCAGAAAAATTAGGAAGAATAAATCATTTTAAAAAAATTTAATAAGGCTAAAAGAATTTTATTTTTTGCAAAAAATGCTAGATTTTTAGAGTATTATGTGCGAATTTTGGCGTTAAAGATAGGAGATAATCTAAAATGATATGGAACGCTCTGTAACTGATTGATTAATAAATCAATAAAAGATTGATTAAATGACTTTTTAATGTTATTTTTATAATAAATATTTCATTTAAAGATTTATCATAAAAAATATTTGTATTATATTAACCTTACTTTTTTTGTTGTGATGAATGGGGACCGACTTGCTCTAAGAGCTGTATCTGGATGCTCCTCTGATAACGGAGCTGCTCTCAATTTTACATCATTGCTCCGGGTCAAAGAACCATTGGTCTGAGTGCTCCAAGAGCAAGCACTGTTGCTTTCAGAGGTATCTGGATAAATCACGGCATCCTCCATAATATAGGCCTAGAGAACAAAAAAGGGAATGATAACGCAATTTTAATTAAATTAACCTTAAGATCTAGATATGGTTAGCAGATACCAAGATTTTGGCAAAGTCTGTTTTTCTAAATTTTTTTCCTATAGTTTAAATTTTATATTTGTAAGGAATTGAGTCGTTGCCTCAAATTTTCTAATCTCTATAAATGTCGTCGACTTTAGATATTTCGAACTAAGAATTCTGTGTGATCAAATAATCTAAGTTTGAAATATCAAAGGTTTGCACATCAGGCTTCAAAGATTTCCACATCAGGCTTCAAAGATTTAGGGATAGTAAAATTTGAGTTTGTGGTAAAGACTCAATTCCTTTTTACAAAGTGTGTGTTATGGTGAGAAACAAAATGTGACACCAAAAACAATCGGCAAAAGTTCATATTCAACATTTTTATCAATTAAACAAATATTTTTCTACCTGATTATCTACACCTCTAGCTCCGCCATTAGCAGATTTTATCTAAAACAGACAAAATCTTATTTTACCTTCTCTGCATAGTGATAACAAATGGAATTAAGAATTAACTTTACTTGGTTCAAATACGAGAACATGTGCACATACAATAATCTTAACTAGCTTTGACCGGACCGACTAGACTTTCAAATTTCGCCAGCCTTGGCTCTTGAATTTTTACATATTTTACAAAATTTGAAAGTAATTGGCAAAACCATATTTTGTTTTCACGCCGGATTGTCTATATTTTAGCTCATAGTAATGCCACTTAAATTAAAGATTTTCGCATCCCTTTATCTATGCAACCTAATGTTTTTTTTCAGACCTTTTTGATCTAATAAAATGCAAAGCTTGAATTATGAATGGTCTATGACATCAGGTTGCAAAGATATTTGAATAGAAATGAGAGTTTGTGGCGAGTTTTTTTCTGATAACCAGAAAACAGTGGAAAAGGAAGACAACATTATAGCAATACTTTATTGTATGCATTTGATGTTGTTACAAAGCAAATATAGTATTACTAGACACTTATTAAATCACTGCTTTATTGAATTGAGTCTGTTTACACTGAACAATTGCTTTGTATTATGCTCAATGGACTTTTTAAAGTTATAACTTTATTATAAAAGTCGTCTTCCATTTCGAGTTTTTTTGGTCATCACTGTCTTTTAATTTCCTATAAAATGTAAACTATGATTAAAATATTGAGTTGAAAGCGGAAGTGAAAACAAATGAACGGGATAATTCTTATCGGCAGTACGCCCGAAGGTTTTTTAACAAGGCTTTCATCAAAGATCAAATAGGGAAGGGGGAGGGGGAGGCTGTGTGGGAAGGAGGGGGGGGGATGGTTTTATATATCATAATTGTAATTAAATAAAAGCAATTAAAGTTAATCGCACAAAACAAGACTTTTCTTGTTTTTCTTTTTTATATTTGTAAATTAATAGTTTTAGTTGAGGTATTTCCAACGAGGTTATAGTTTATAGACTGGTACGCTAATCCTTTACTAATTCTATAGACCATAAACTATACCGAGAGCGTACTGCATATTTGTTCATTATAAGTTGATTCTGGCCTAACCCTTAGTATATCAATATTAGTAAACATTTGTAAGTGTACAGGACAGCTAACTGAGCACACAGGTAGGAACCTATCATCCCCCCTGGGTATTTCCATAAAAGTTTTAAAATGACGATATCTTCCCCATTGCTACTCAGATAACGTATTAAAGGGAACCAGTGTGAAAAGAGACATGCCACTATATAAATATATTTATAGAGTTTCTAAACATTACGTCTCTGCAGTTTATCTAATTAAACAATTTAGGAACATTTAACGAGACTATACGCCTGGGTTCAAGTGACCCTCCATGCAAAGATGGCAATTCAAGATTTTATTTGAGTTTAACTTTTATATGTTGCTCTTTTAACGATTTTTTTTCGTGAATTTTGAAAAATAAAATTTTTAAAGGCCAATTTTTTAAATTCTTACCATCCAAAAACTTTTCTTGGGATCATGTGAAGTCGCAGAAAAATTTGGGCCCGATCGGCACAGCCGTTTTGATGTTTATCGGTGACAAAGTTCAGAAAAAGTGGTCGTTAAGAAATCGTGAAGATTACGAAATCTAAAATTGAAAATAAATCTTAAAAGATCTAAAAACAAGGATTATTAAACGTGTTGAACCTGAGGCTGGATTGAGGCTTTTCTTGACGAGGCCGGGGGAGGATGATGATGATCTCCGAAGAATTTATGAACGATGGATTCAACCAGGAATATTAATAGAAACCCTAGACATAATATATAATTCTTTCAAAATGGTTTTTTTCTACATATATGATATTTTTACAGTTTACATTACTGTACAGTTTACAGTACTGTACAGTTTACAGTACTGTACAGTTTACAGTACTGTACAGTTTACAGTACTGCACAGTTTACAGTACTGTAAGTGTACAGTACTGTACAGTTTACAGTACTGTACAGTTTACAGTACTGCACAGTTTACAGTACTGTAAGTGTACAGTACTGTACAGTTTACAGTACTGTTCAGTTTACAGTACTGTACAGTTTACAGTATTGCACAGTTTACAGTACTGTACAGTTTACAGTACTGTACAGTTTACAGTACTGTACAGTTTACAGTACTGTACATTTTACAGTACTGTGCAGTTTACAGTACTGTACAGTTTACAGTACTGTACAGTTTAAAGTACTGTACAGTTTAAAGTACTGTATTAGTTTACAGTACTGAAAAGTTTACAGTACTGTAAAGTCTACAGTAAGGTAAAGTCTACAGTACTGTGCAGTTAAACAGTAATAGCGCTGTTTTAGCCTTTACTGTAGAACCGACTTTCACCGATATAATAAAGATCTTTTTACATTATTCTAAATAATTAAAAAGTTTGCTTTCATTGACATTCTGAAAGTTTTGCGTGTAGATCACGTGACATAAATAATTTGTATGCTATTTATCTCTGATAGTTGATTTGAAAGGGTCATTTAACTATAATCGATGATAATATTAATTCATTCCTATTCGCATACTTCACAAAATTCAGAATCACTCCATTTATTCTAAAAAATCCCCAAAGAATTCTAAAAAGTTTCTCACCCATACAGATCAGAAGCTCTGCAAACGGGTATTCAAAATCCTGAGAAAAAAAAACTTTATAATCCATAATTTTTCATTAAATTGTTTTTATTTCAAAAATAACTCTTCTTGTTAGTTTTCTAATAGCTAAAAAATAGCAAAGACATCAAAGCTTAACACTTTGGAATTTTGGATATCGAGATTAATCTTTGATGTCCTCTTTATATACATCTGCAGATAAATATAACCTTGAAAAAACCGTTGAAAAAAACGAACGGGATTTTTTTGCTCACAATCAATGAGAGAACTCTCGGAACCCAGCAGGAATAACCAAAAGAGAGAGTTAAGCGGAAAATATTCACAATGGAGTAAGCGAACGGGATTAACACAAAAGTTTCCTGTTCAGGTTGCAAAGATATAAACAATGAAAAATTATAAAGTATACTCAGAAAACCCCGGAATTAATTGACAGTTAATCAGTTGATTTTACATTTATACCTCTGGCAATTTTAAATGCTCAAAAAAGGCAGACCACATTTTGGTAAAAGACTAGGGTTATTTAGTTTTATCAATCCTTTTGAAAATTAGATTGTAAAGTCGTCTGATTAATTGTAAATTAATTACGCGTCGGGTCTTTCTGGTCAGGACTGTAGTTTATTGTAAGTTCTCATTTGTTTTACAAATAATGTTTAACTCACCATACTTCCCAATACTCCTGTCTGAGTTGCAGCTTCCAGGCTTTCTCTCACCTTAATTCATTGATTTGATAAAATATTCTTTCTTTTTTAATTTTTAATTTTGCTAAATTTTGAAGATTTTAAACTTACTTAATCTCAATTTAAAGAAATAATCTTTGACTCCTTTAATTGAATACCATTATTGTCACAAAAAGAATTGATTCATTGCCACAAACTCTGATTTTCTTATCCCTATATNTTTCAAATTGTAAGTAAGTTTCCAATAGTGCTCAATGCTTTAAAAAGATACTCCAAAAGCCAATCAGCTAAAAAACTTAAACCCAGTTTCACAAATTATTCAGTAAAATATTTTGAATTAAATGTCAATCATGCTTTGCATATTTTTAAGGCTACCAACCTAAGAATATTTGCAATATCTATTGTAAAACAATTTAAAATGTTTGGAGCATTTTCTGTTGTAATGCTTATCCCGATCTTTATTATCCATGTTATCAATGTATCTTATCTATTTCAATGTAACCCAAGCCGGCCAATCCGGTCAGCTTGATTTACCTGTATATATAAATAAATTAGTACTATACGAAACGTTGTGTTAAACGGACGTATACAGAGCCTTGAGTTTTGGCTAGAGATTGAGATCCTTGAGTTTTGGCTAGATATAGAGTCAGTGAGACTGTAATTAGACTTTGAGTAGCGTAATCTCGGGACCTAGATTTATTACATGTTCACAGAAAAAAACATTTGAAGAAAAAAGGCACAAAAACTTAAGGTTTACAATCAATGCCGCAAAATTATTTCAAACATCAACGACGACCTTCAAGTCGTCTCTCAACTGTCATGTTTTTATTGGACACCCTGTATCTCCAATCATATTGAAAGCACAAAAAGGCAGACCACAGTTTTGACATGCCAGGACAATAGCCATTTTCTTAATTATTTGACTTTTAAAATAAGGTTTACGAAAAAAAAGCCGCAAATTATTTCAAAGATTAGAGACGAAATTCAAGTCATCTTGCTACTGTTTCGTGGGACATCCTGTAAATTATATCTTAACTAGGATTATGCTGAGCTGAAAACTTTTGAATTGGATACCCAATTAATCCTGATCGCTTAATCTGAATAATCACTGTGGTAACTTTTAATTTTCTTTTCATCCGCTCTTGTTAGATAAAACATTTCCCACTACATTTCATAAAGATACCTATAATTGCAAAACAGATACGATGCTATATCAATTGGAATAATATCCGATTGAACTAAAGTCAATTGAACATATTTTATCACGTTTGAAGGCTTTAGTCCTTTTGAACGTTGGTCTTAATAAACATTAATACAAAACTTACGTTCGTTCAATCGATCAATAGTCCAATTGATATGACACCACAAATGCGAAGAAATAAAAAACCGGTTTTTCAAAAGTTAAAAAGCGCATCTCTAATCTCTAGAAATGAATCTAAAGACTTCATTAGTTTGGAGATTAGCAAACAGAGAGGATCAAGCATAAATCTCGATATCAACCATTCTAAAGTTTTCAGCTCTGAAAAGATGAGACAAAGACGACAAAAACTTGAGAATATTTATTTTTATCAATATTTAGCCTTACCAATAAATCTGTCCAGGCATTTAAGTTTATTTCGTTTGGTTAGATATTTGTGAAGAAGAAGAGGAAGTAGACCAAACCCAACCTTGGTCAACCCAAGCAGGAATAATACTATCACCTTTACTCCGATTATATCCATCCTAAAATGTATTTACGGTAAAGGGACTGTACGCGTAATTTCAAGTGATTATCCATATAAAGATGACATTGCTCGATTAATAACGGTACCCTCATAAAAATGCGGAAGATACGGTTGTTTCCTGACTTAAAGTTTTTTTTTCCCTAAAAGTTAGGGTTTCCAATCGAATTTTTTGCACAAATTTCGTGCAATAATTGAGCAAAAATTTTCTTCAGTTTCGAGTAAAAATTGCACGAAATTTTGACATAATTGCGCATTGTAAAAAAACATTGTAAAAAAATTTTATAATTCTGCATTTATGCGCAATTTTGTGCAAAAAAATAATAATTTATTTCGTATAAATGTATCAGTTACTGTCAGAAAAATTTCCATTGATTCTAATTTGTCTGAGAGTAAATGACATTCCTTTGTAAATATTTGTAAATATTCCTTTGTAAATATTAAATTCATTAAAAGGGGCGGGATTAAATGAAAATTGTTGCATACCAAAAAACCAGCTTTTTATAAAGGAATGCGCAATTTCTGGTTTCGTATTGATACGAAATGTTGTGCAAAAAAGGTCATTTCGTGCAAAAACTGCACGAAACTGTTGCGCGCAAGAAAATCTACTGTTGCGTGGAACGGTGGAACTGGAAACCCTTGAGTTTCTCCATTGCATTCTCACTTGCACACAGAAACCGCAAATGAAAATAAACNATTCTCCAAGAGATGTTTTTGTCCAAAGAAATATTTTTATGAAAAAATCATTTTTTAATGTTCCCCTAATGCCTAGATTGCTGCTGGTGTTCACGTCCGAGGAAAGGATCTGAAACAAAAAATAATTAAAGTTTGTTGGACCAATGTAAAACAACCCAACGTGGTTAGGCGGGTCCAAACTGAATAGTAAATAGAAACAAAATTTCAAAATGGAAAATTTTTGAAAATTGATAATTGTCTCCATTAAAAAAAGTTAGATTTCATATGAGTGTAATGAATTTGTCTTTGACCAATGATAATTTTTAAAGTTGTCTCTCAACAATTGTTTTTGGAAAACTATGGGAGTTTTATTAGAAACACTTAAAACTGAACACCGAACATAAAGCAATGAACCCTAACTAACTTAACTAAACAACCAATACTGGTTAGGCGGGTGTAAATTTCATTGTATATTGTGATTACTTATTTGTTTTCTCTTATGCTTTGAAGTTAAATAAAATATAAAGAAAATGAACCCAAGAAAACTTTTTTTCAAAATGCTTAACTTTAAAACCTACCATGCAAAACAATTAAAACCGCTTAAAAAGTAAAAAATACATAAATGCCCAAGTCTGACACATGGGCCTATTAAATCTTTACATTGTTTCATTTGATGAATTCATGTTTTAAACCCATTGTTTACAGTTGAACTTTATTATTCTTAGACGCACCAAAAATATTATTTCAAGATTATTGCAAATTGTAATGTAACTCATATATGTATTTTTTTTCTGACAAATAATTAGGCTTAATCTTTAATTTCAATTTTCATATCTATAAATAAAAAGTTATAATCTCTGTTTGTGTGTATTTATGTTTGTTTGTATGCCCCAAGGATTGTAAGGCAAGGAAAGTTATTTCAGAAGTGTAGACATCTTTTGTACTGCAGTGTACTGTCACTGGGCGGTAATGTAAACACAAGACGGATGTGGAAGCCTAAAATGGGATCCATCTTTCACATAAAAAATCGATGAAATATTCTGGTCATAGGAAACTAATATGTGAATTATCAAAATTTTCAAACTAAACTAAACGAACACTGATGCATCTATTCTTGTTTACAAATTCCGCCCAAAGAGAACTGGTTTCAATATGTACGCAGAGTATACTCAACTGCAATTAACTTTCCTTGCATTACATTCTTAGTACGCCCGATATAACACAGAAATCCCTTGACCAATTTGCCTCAAATTTTCATACGCAAACATTGTTATTGGTTGAGCCATGGAAATGTTATTAGCTTGGGTTAAAAATTCATCGTTTCCAGGCAAAGGTGAGTTCCCATACAAGTATTTATATACACTAGAATACCATGGTTTCAAACTCAATTTTCAATGATTTTTTTTTTAAATTTTTAATATGGGATTAATTTCACTGTTTTGTTTATTGACGCATTTAGGGCCATATTCATTTATGTCATTTCTTGTTTCTTTCTATAATGGAAAAATAATTTATGCAGTAAATTCGAGTTTATATTTATTGTTTTTGAAAATCCATTCAAAAGAAAAAATGTTTAAAATTTTCTTATGTGCTTCCAAACAAAACTAAAGCACTATAGTTTCAGAAGAAGTAAATATTTCCATTCACTGTTAGCGCCGATATAATGGATTTATCTCTAATTGGATAATGAGATAGATAGAAAGACAGATGTTACCACCATGCAATTTCTATTGGTTCAGAATAGAAAACAAACATGCACATGACTGAACCCTTCTTGGATCAGGCGCTAATGTACTCGGCATACAGGAGTGAGAGGAGAAACGAGTTCCCAAAGTCGTAACCGCAATGCCGCATAAATTTGGCACAGTTTTGTCTACTGAAGAAAGAAACGAACTTGTGTATGCAATTAATTAGTTAATCACTAAAATATAAGTATCTAAAGGAATTGAGTGCTTGCCACAAATCTCAATTTTCTAATCCCAATATCTCTACAACAAGATGATGTAAACCTTTGATATTTCAAACTTGAATTATTAAACATCTACAGTCTACGACATTGGATTGGAAAGAAATAGGGATTAAAAATCAGAATTTGTGGCAAAGACTCAATTCCTTTATCAGAATCAGAATCGATGATAGGAGAAAAAAACTAATATCTCATCGCCAATTATAAATTATCATTTTCTGTGAAATGCCTCGTCATTTCCTGGAAGCATGCAGGGTTATCCACAAAATATGATACTATAACAACGACATGAAACATTTTAAATAAATAGCTTTGTCTGATTATTAAAGTTATTAAGTTATTAAAGTTATTAAAAGTTATTAAAGTTATGAAAGTCGACCTACTCAACTAAAAATTAAGTTTTAAATAGTTCCTTAAAGGGACAGTAAAGGAAAAATGAAAGGGAGTATAGGATGAAACCTGAGAATCTCAGGTGTTGATCGATACATATAAGACATCTATCTGATGTTTCTGTCTCGAGAAATTGATACAAAACTGTGTCAAATTTACACGAAAATTCATATATATGCAACTTTGTATAAAAGTTGTAGTATTAAACAGATCATATTCAACAATACGAAACCTTGATGAAAATTCGAGGCCTATCAGTCAAAAGTAAGGAAATACAAAAAAAACTATTATTTATCAATATTTTATTTCCTTAAAGAAATAAAATTGCAGAATGTTTATATAGTCGTCTCTAAGTCTCATAATTAATAAATAACCTTACAAAGGAACTGGGTCTATTCCCAAACCTTGTATAGTCGTCTCTAAGTCTCATAATTAATAAATAACCTTGCAAAGGAACTGGGTCTATTCCCAAACCTTGATTTTCTAATCCATATAATCCATATAATCCATATAATCCATATAATCCATATAATCCATATAACTTTGCAAACCAATGTTCTAGACCTTTGGTATTTCTAACTATATTAGATCAATTAGTCTAATTGCTTGAAATATTAAGGTTTACACCATCAGGGGGCAAAAATATAGGGATTGGAAAATGTGAAACTCAAATTCTTTGTAAACTGTTTCATTTTGAAAAGTTTATAATTAAATTTTATTTTTTCAGTCCAAAAATTGCAATTGTTAAATTTGTATTGGCATAAAGAAATGTTAATAATCTTTTAATTTTTCTAAAATGTTTAAACTACTGAATTCTGAATCAAAACATTCAAGTTATTTATGCCAAAGACGCAAACTTTGTTTTAGTTAATTCAAAAACCAAAATCTCAAACAAAACTTTTATTACCTAAAATTTAATTAAATGTATATTAATTATTTTAATCAACTGCCGAATGTAAAGTATTGGTTTTATTTTTGTTGTAAATTGATTATTAAAGAAAATTTAAACCACGGGAAAAGAAATTTTTTATTCTAAACTAAGTAAAAATATATATTTTCAAAAATTGTATTTAAATATATGAATTTAAACATTTTGTTTCGTATATATGTGTAAATACTAAATAAAAACCTGTAAAAACAAATATTTTCCAACCTAAAAAGAGATGATATTAATCCTAAGACTGATATGGCCGGGAAACCAGAATTGAAAAACTGGTATTTTCTTGATTACTCATCAAAGTATAATCGATAATTTTCCCCACCCTACTGATTTAACTGAATTTGCACCCTCCTCCCTCCACAACTTCCTAATTATAGTGGCACTGCTCCCCTAACTAACTAAAACTTCCTTTGTTTAAACTTTCCTTGTTTACATAATCAAAAAAAACATTTATCATAAAAATGTCCTTTCTGTATTAATTTTAATACATGAATAATGAATAATAAGAAACTTAAAGGGACTATTAAATTGGAACTCTTCCAGTGAATATTAAAGGGACTTTAAAAGCGACTGATATTGCGACTATTAAAGAGACAATTAAATGGAACAATTAAAGGGACTAATAAAGAGACTATTAAAGGGAATATTAAAGGGACTATAAAAGCGACTGATAATGCGACTATTAAAGAGGCTATTAAAGGGACTATTAAAGGGACTATTAAAGAGACTATTAAAGGGACTATTAAAGGGACTATTAAAGAGACTATTAAAGGGACTATTAAAGGGACAATTAAAGGGACTATTAAAGGGACTATTAAAGGAATTATTAAAGGGACAATTAAAGGAACTATTAAAGGGACTATTAAAGGGATTCAATGTGAATCGGACATGACACTCTTTTAAATTGTGAATCATTTGAAATTACATGGATAGTCTCATCTCACATTAATCTCTCTAGAAGGGGATTACATGAATAGTCTCTTCTCACATTAATCTCCCTAGAAGGGGATTACATGAATAGTCTCTTTG